AAAAAAAATAAATATCTATATCTGTATTTCGGTCTCTGTGCTTTGTGGGGGGGTCACGGGGGAAGGAGGGGGGGTTACAAATCCTCCAAGACCCCAAATCCAACCAATTTACCCCCCCTAAAAAAATCATTGAGAAAAATCCCCAGTCTCCAAACACCGTGCCGGGTTGGTAGCCACCTCGGCAGTGATGGTTGCCCAACTGGGAATCCTAGGGGGGGGGAAAGGGGGGGCCACCTCTGTGTCTGGTTCTTCTTGGGGACCTGGGAGGGCAGCAACTGATTTGGGGGTGTCCCCTGGCTCAGAGGCCACAGCCACCTTGGTGGCCACCAGCTCCTCCTTGTTGGGGTGGTGGCCCCAGCGTTGCTCCTTGTGGTCACCACCTTCAGTACAACGTCCCCACCAAGGGACTGACCCCCCCACCAGCCTTGGGGGGCCACCAAGCCCCCCACATCCCAAGGAGTGGCCACAGGATGATTTTTCTGGGGCTGATTTAAGGCTTTTTCTTCCCGAGAAGTTTTCTAACACCCCCCACCCCCTGGTGGGGACAGTGACCTCCTTCAGTGCCATCCCCCCAACCAAACCCCCACTTTTGGGGTCTTTTTCTAGGAAGGAAGGGGTCGCCAGCCAGAAAAGTGTCCCTGTGACCCCCCCTCCCCTTATTGCGGCCACATTTTGGGGGTGACACCCCCCTCGCCAGCCCACGCTGGGACAGAGATGGTGTTGGGGTGTCGGGGGGGGGTTGTTTACCCATCAGAGAGGGGGTGAGGTGACATCGTGTGTCCCTCAGCGTGGTGGCCCCCCTCCTCCAAGGTGTCCAGCAGGTCCTTCGCCTCCCCTTGGGCCACCTCGCGGGGCAACCGGCCCTTGGCATCGGGGACGGTGGCCACCGCCGGGCTGTGCCCCAGGAGGAGGGCACAGAGCTCCCGGTGGCCTTGCTCGGCCGCCTGTGGGGGACACAGAATCACAGGATCTTCTAGGTTGGAAGGGACCTTCAAGATCATCTTGGCCAACCGTCAACCCAACTGACAAAAATAGACACCCACACAACAAACTGCCACTTTGCTCTGCTCTGGTGAGACCTCACCTGGAGTACTGTGTGCAGGTCTGGAGCCCTCAATATAAGGAGGACATGGACCTGATGGAGAGGGTCCAGAGGAGGGCCACCAGGATGATCAGGGGGATGGAGCACCTCTGCTACGAGGACAGGCTGAGGGAGCTGGGGTTGTTCAGCCTGGAGAAGAGGAGGCTCCAGGGAGACCTAATAGCGGCCTTCCAGTACCTGAAGGGAGCTACAGGAAGGCTGGGGAGAGCCTGTTTAGAAAGGGCTGCAGTGACAGGACGAGGGGCAATGGCTTCAAGCTGGAGGGGAACAGATTTAGACTGGAGATTAGGAGAGGGTTCTTCACTGGGAGGGTGGTGGAGCACTGGAACAGGTTGCCCAGGGAGGTGGTTGAGGCCCCATCCCTGGAGATATTCAAGGAGAGGCTCGACGAGGCCCTGGGCAACCTGGTCTAGTTGGGGGTGTCCCTGCTGACTGCGGGGGGGTCGGACTAGATGGCCTTTGGAGGTCCCTTCCGGCCTGGGCAATTCTATGATTCTATGATTCTATGAATATATGTTTTCGGAAGGAGAAATGGGCTCTCAGAAGTTGAACTATAATGTAAATGATACACTAAGCTCAGCAAACGTAGAATTTTTCTGAAGATATGAATAGGTTTGGTGATTATTATCTAATTTGGATCTGTTAAGTATTTGCCTAAATTACTTGCCATTTTAAATCTCAGGTTCTCTTGGGTTTCTTTATCTGACATTATAGTTGCCCTTCTCTGGACCCGCTCCAGCACCTCAATGTCTTTTTTATGGTAGGGGGCCCAAAACTGGACACAGTACTCGAGGTGGGGTCTCACCAGTGCCGAGTACAGGGGGATGATCACCTCGTGGGTCCTACTTGCCACACTGTTCTTGATCAAGGCCAGGATGCTGGTGGCCTTCTTGGCCACCTGGGCACACTGCTGGCTCCTGTTCAGCCAACAGTTGACCAACACCCCCAGGTCCTTTTCTGCTCCAGCCACTCTGCCCCCAGCCTGGAGCACCCATGGGGTTGGTGTGACCGAGGTGCAGGACCCAACACTTGGCCTTGTTGAACCTCATTCTGTTGGTCTCAGCCCATCCATCCAGCCTGTCCAGATCCCTCTGCAAAGCCTCTCTACCCTCCAGCAGATCAACACTCCCACCCAACTTGGTGTCATCTGCAAATTTGCTGAGGGTGCATTCGATCCCCTCATCCAGATCATTGATAAAGATGTTAAAGAGAACTGGTCCCAGTACTGAGCCCTGTGGGACCCCACTGGTGACTGGACACCAGCTGGATTTAACTCCATTCCCCACCACTCTCTGGGTCCCTCCCCAACAAGGGTGACACAACCCTTGTCACCACCGTGGTGACACGACGGGGGGGTTGTGAAGGGAAAGGGGGGACACCCCCCCATTCCTGCCACCCACCTTGTGCAGGCTGGTGCGGCCGTCCCCGTCGGTGGCCAGTGGGTCAGCCCCGTGGGCTAGCAGTAGCCGGGCCACGGCCAGGTGGCCACAGTAGCTGGCACGGTGCAGGGGGGTGGCCCCCCCGGGGGTGCGGGCGTTGCAGCGAGCCCCCCACCTTAGCAGCAGCTGGCAGACCCCCAGGTGCCCGTTGCGGCTGGCGTAGTGCTGGGGAGGGGAAAAAAAACAAGCAAGGAGGGGTTATGGGTGGGCAGGGGGCTCTGTGGTCCTCCCCCGGACACCCCCAAATTGTGGGGGGTGTGTGTGGGTCCCCCCTGCCCTCCCCTACCAGTGCTGTGTACCCCGCTGAGTCGGTCTGGCTGGGCTCCCCCCGACGCTCCAGCAGCTCCCGCACCCGCTGCTCGTCCCCGTCCCGCGCCGCCGACCAGATCCCTGGGGGGAGAGAAGGGGAAAGTTGGGGGGGGACACGTGTCAGGCAGGGTCTGCACCCCCCAGACCTGCCCGCACCCCTACCCACCCCCCCCAGGCCTTCCCTGCACCCCCCAGCCCTGTCTGCACTCCCCAGACCTGCCCACAGCCCCCAGCCC